CGCTCTTCCACGTGCAGCTGCTGGTGTGACCTTGGGTCAGTCACAAGTTCTCTCAGAGCTTTTCTCTCAAGGGCAGTTCTTGAGAGAGCTCTCGGCCCCACCGACCTCACAGGGTGTCTGTTGAGGGGAGGGGAGGGGAAAGGAGATTGTGAGCTGCTCTGAGACGAGTGAAGGGTGGGGTACAAATCCAATCTCCTCTTCTTTTTTCCTTTGCTTTGGGTCTGGCACCCCAGGTGGATGCGCACAACATTGTCCCTTGCTGGGTGGCCTCTGACAAGCAGGAGTACGGCGCGAGGACGATTCGGCGGAAGATTCATGACCGGCTGGCGGAGTTTCTGACCGAATTCCCACCTGTCATCCGGCACCCTTACCCCAGCACCGTCCAGGCGGAGGTAACAATCATCTGTGGGAATGAGATATGGGTGTGTCTTGATGTGTGTATTTTTTGTTGTCGACACCTGACTTATGGTGACCCTGTAAGGGTTTTCAAGGGACGACTTGAACAGAGATGGTTTGCCCTTGCCTGCCTCTGCGTAGCGACTCCGAACTTCCTTGCTGGTCTCCCCTCCAAGTACTAACCAGGTCCGACCCTGCATAGCTTGCAAGATCTGATGAGATCAGGCCGGGCCGGGCCATACAGGTTAGGGTACAGCCCCTAACTAACTGTTGATCTCCTTCCTCGAACGCAACGATCTGGCTTCAGCGATCCACGCTATGGTCACCTCGAGGCTGGACTACTGCAATGCTCTCTACATGGGGCTGCCCTTGGGGCGACTCCGGAAGCCGCAGCTGGTGCAGGACGCTGCAGGCAGGCTGTTGATGGGCCTCCCTGTGCAGGAGCCAGCTTGGTCTATCAAGGTCAATATTGTCTACTTATTGTCGAGAGCCAGTTTGGTTTAGTGGTTAAGTGTGTGGACTCTAATCTGGGAGAACCGGGTTTGATTCCCCACTCCTCCAATCGCACCTGCTGATGTGATCTTGGGTCAATCACAAGCTCTGTCAGAGCTGTTCTTGAAAAAGAGCCGTTTCTGTCAGAGCTCTCTCAGCCCCACCTGCCTCACAGGGTGTCTGTTGTGGGGAGTGGGAGGGAAAGGAGTTTGTGAGCCGCTCTGAGACTCCCAAGTAAAGGGCGGGATATAAATCCAGTCTCTTCTCTTCTTCTTCAACCTGTGCTGAAGTCGTTGCACTGGCTGCCGATAGCGTTCTGGATTTACTTCAAGGTGCTGGTTTTGACCTTTAAAGCCCTTTATGGTCAGGGGCCTGCCTACCTGAGGTTTTCCCCGCATGTCCCCCAGAGAGCACTGCGATTTGGAACACAAAACCGCCTGGCCCTCCTTGGGCCTAGGGACGCCAAGCTGGCAGCAACTAGCACCAGGGTGTTCTCTTTGGCGGCGCTGACGCTCTGGAATGAACTCCCTAGTGAGATCAGAGCATTGCGGGGCCTCCAGCAATTCCACGGGGCCGTGAAAACTGAGCTTTTTCGCCAGGTGTTTCAGTAAGAATGATTTCATCGGCTGTGCTGCACTTGCACTTAATTACATGATACCGCCACATCTAAATGGTTCTAACTGTATTTATTTGGAATTTCATTGAACTGTATTTTATGTATATATTTATGCTGGTTTTGGGAGCTGCGGTGGCTCAAGTGGTTAAGACGCTGAATAAAGGTCGGTAGTTCAGCAGCTCGAGACCCGAGTGTGCCGCATGACGGAGTGAGCTCCCGTCTCTAGTTCCAGCTCCAGCCAACCTAGCAGTTCGAAAGCAAGACATTGCAAGTAGATAAATAGGTACCACTTCGGTGGGAAGGGAACAGCGTTCCGTGCGCCTCGGCGTTTAGTTATGCCATCCACATGACCACGGAAACGTCTTCGGACAGCGCTGGCTCTTCGGCTTTGAAACGGAGATGAGCACCGCAACCCTAGAGTCGGACTCGACTGGCTTTCGAGCAAGAGCAAGGGAACCTTTACCTATGCTGGTTTTAAAGTTGTGTGTAAGCCGCCCTGAGCCGCTCTGGCGGGAGGGTGAGATAGAAATTTGATAAAATAAATAAATAAATATTGGTATTCACTACTACACGATGCCCACGCTGAAAGCTGTTGTGCGCTTTAGAGGCCTGGCACGACCAAGAGACGGAAGAGTCACACCAGTGTGAAAAGAGCAGACGGCCTCTGGAGAGAACAGTCTCACGGACAGTTCTGGTCTGCCCGCCAACTCTGGACTTGAGCCTTTGTATTCCAGGACGCCTCCTCATTGACGACTAACCTCTTGCGCTGTTTCCACTTTCCCAGGTGGTCGATTGGGATGCGTGTTTCGCCAGCCTGCAGGTCGACCGCTCGGTCAAGGAGGTGCGATGGGCCAAGCCGGGTACGGCCGCCGGCCTGGCGGTGCTGGAGGAGTTCGTGGAGGACCGTCTGAAGTTCTTCGGCACAGAAAGGAACAATCCAAACAAGGCTGCTCTGAGCAATCTCTCGCCCTGGTTCCACTTTGGTGAGTAGGTCATAGAATCATAGAATTGTTGCAGAGTTGGAAGAGGTCCTAGAGACCATCTAGTCCAACCCCCTACCCAATGCAGGACCAGCCTAAAGCATCTCTGACTATTTGTCCAGCCAGTTTAGTGCAGTGGTTAAGTGCGCGGACTCTAATCTGGGAGAACCGGGTTTGATTCCCCACTCCTCCGCTTCCACCTGCTGGATGACCTTGGGCAAGCCGTAGTTCTGATAAGAGCTGTTCTTGAAAAAGAGCAGTTTCTGTCAGAGCTCTCTCAGCTTCACCTGCCTCAAAGGGTGTCTGTTGTGCGGAGGTCAGAGTTGTTCAAAGGTGGAATCAGCTGCCTAGGGAGGTTGAGCTCCCCTTCACTGATAGCTTTCAAGAAGAAGAAGAAGAAGAGATTGGATATATACCCCACCCTTCACGACCCAAAGGAGTCTCAGAGCGGCTGACCATCTCCTTTCCCTTCCCCTCCCCACAACAGACACCCTGTGAGACAGGTGGGGCTGAGAGAGCTCACTCGAGGACTGCCCTTGAGAGAACAGCTCTGAGAGGACTTGTGACTGACCCAAGGTCACCCCAGCGGCTGCATGTGGAGGAGGAGTGAAGGAATCAGACCTGGTTCTCCCAGGTTAGAGTCCGCGCTCCTAACCACTACACCAAACTGGCATGTTTTCTGTGGTGCTGAAAAGCTTCCTCACGGCCAGTGGGCGCGTACAGTGACTTCTCCCTGGCCTCTCCGGCAGGCCAGCTTGCTGTCCAGAGAGCCATCTTGGAGGTCTCCAAGCACCGCCGCAGGTGCAAGGAATCGGTGGACGCTTTCGTCGAGGAGGCCGTGGTGCGCCGGGAGCTGGCGGACAACTTCTGCTTCTACAACCAGAAGTACGATCAGGTCGAAGGTAATGGGCCAGACCGCACTGCCCGCCTGGCAGCTGTAAAATTTTTATTTATTATTTATATTTTGAATTTCTTCCCCGCCCTCCCAGCCGAGGTCGGCTCAGGGCGGCTTGCATAACAACAGATCAATTACATTAAAAGCATAAGTTACAATTAAAACAACTCTAAAACCATAATCTGGGGTCATTTTGTAGAAAAAGAGGTGCAGGAGCTCATTAGCATAACTCATTTGCATATGCCACACCCCCTGACATCACCAGAAGTGTGTCAGAAGGCAACACCCACCGCTCAGGCTCCACTGGACTGTATTGGATTGCTAGCTATTGGGGGGGCGGGCGTGCAGATCTGTCCTCACAGAGGAGGGAGAGCTTGTACCTGAATAAAACTTGGTCTTAAAGGTGCCACTGGACTGTTTTGGACCGGGGGGTGGGGGGGCTCTGCAACTTACCTGGCCACCCTTCCCCTGTTTGCTCTTTGTATTACCCTACTCTTGCTGCTTACTTTTTATACTGGTGTAGTACCATTTTCTGCATTGGCGAATGTGGTGTGCTGTGTTCCTGACTGCTTTAACCCTTGTCCTATTACATTGCTTACTAGATGTCTCATCCTATTGATTCCACACGTGGAGTCCATCTGGGTCTCACGGAAAGAGTAAAAAGCCCATTGGCACCTTTAAGACTAACAAACTTTATTGTAACATAAGCTTTCGAGAGACACAGCTCTCTTCATCGTATGCATGGAGGTTATGAAGAAGAAGAAGAGATTGGATTTATACCCCACCCTTCACTTGGAGTCTCAGAGCGGCTTACAAACTCCTCTCCCTTCCCCTCCCCACAACAGACACCCTGTGAGGTGGGTGGGGCTGAGAGAACTCTGACACAAACTGCTCTTTTTCAAGGACAGCTGTGCCAGAGCTTGTGACTGACCCAAGGTCATCCAGCCAGGTGCAGGTGGAGGAGTGGGGAATCAAACCCATTTCTCCCAGATTAGAGTCCGCACACTTAACCACTGCACCAAACTGGCTCTCACCACCTATATATATGAAGAACCTGGCCAGTCACCACCTATATATATCTCTGGCCATTTACTTCATGCTCTCCATGCATCTGACAAAGAGAGCTGTGTTTCTCAAAAGCTTATGCTATAATAAAGTTTGTTAGTCTGAAAGGTGCTACTGGGCTTTTTACTATCTTGCAGCAACACGGCTAACACGGCTTACACCTCTGGATCAGGGAAACAGGTGCACTGTAAATACAGTAGATCAGAGAGCTACGTTGGGTGCTGTCCTATGCGGAGTTATTTAATGAGTGGACTCACAGCGGAGTCGAGTCTCTGCATAGGATTGCACAGACTGGCTCCGGCCAGGCGCTCTGCCATGCAGGCACCATTGAAGTGAACAGTGTTTCTTGCGTGCAGCGTCTGTTCGTTTCCTCAGAGCATGCACGGAAGAACTACCTCCTGGCTTCTGCCCCGTCTTAATTACTATAGGTGGCCGTGGGGAGATATATTACATAAGAACATAAGAGAAGCCAATGTTGGACCAAGCCAATGGCCCCTCCAGTCCAACACTCTGGGTGCGTTCAGACGGGGGCTTTACATCGGTATAGGTGCCGGTTGCAATCGCTGTACTCACCGGCGTTCAGACGGCAAACATCTGCCTCCTGTCCCTAACCGAAGTAAAGCCCTTTACACCTTTGCACTCTGCCACTAGGTCCCAAGTGGTGGTATCCTGAGTGCAACGGTTGCTTCCGATGTACCCCGGTGTCTGATCGCTCTCCACCGGTGCCTAGCCATTTCCGTCGGAAGGCTGAGGCTTCTGGTTTCCCCCCGCCATTTTTTTTAAAAAACAGCGATATGCGCTTGGGCAAAGCTTCGCCCTGAGCATTTGTTAAAAATTTTTTTTTAAATCCCTTGCTTTACCTATCCGGAGGAGTCCGGGACTTAAGGGAGGCCAGTTTGGGCTTTAAACTTTAAAGGTAAGTCCTTACCTTTAAAGTTTAAATGTAATGGGGGGGCTTTGAGCATGCACAAAGATCGCCATTCTGTGAATGGCTGCCTATGCGCATG